AGGTGCATATTTGAAAATGCAAATGTACATATGTAGACGTGCATAAGTACATAAATATTCACATTTACATACATGCATAAACAAGCATGAAGTTATGTACGTATGTGTGTTTGCAAACAGGATTGAAATACTAAATGTATGTAAGCATTAAGTCCTTTCGGGCTAATGCAATTTTATCCCATTTACCTGTATGACAAATTTGTGAAATTAAGCGACGATATCCCAAGCTCTTATAGCGCATGGGAATGGTGCTCACTGTTACGTATTTTGTTCAAAGAGCCTCTGCTACATTTTCTTGTTAGGGTTATAAAAGCAAGCAGACCATCAAAGTAGAGAGCTCTATGTCCTGTGGTCTTATAATATCCAAACGAAGAGCCTTTATAAAGAAAAATAGTTGTCTGAATTCATACGGACGTATATAGGGGTCACCAAAAAAGATGGAAAGCTTTTATTCGACGGTTGTACAAAAACTTTATTGAATTTAGTACAAAGTTTGGAGCTTTTGAAGCTTTTCGTATTAATAAGATTAGCTTTAAAATTGTATAGGCCAGCGAAAATGTTTATTTTGTGCCATCCGCTTATAAATTAGACAGCGAGCTTTTAAAATAAATTGGACATCGAGCTTTTAAAATCTTTGGCATCCGTGCCTATGTAAAGTCTAAATTTGCTTTAAGGCCTACAAAAATTTATTAAAAAGATCAAATATTAAGTCCAAAATCACAACACGCGTGTTACCAATGAAAGCTACTGTGTTTTTAAAAAGCTTAAAAATTCAGATTTTATTTAATTGTAAAAAGCTCTTCATTCAACTCTGTTTAGCCATACAAAATAAAAATTTCACCCAATATGTCTTCTGCTTAGGAACACGTTTTGTATTTTGTAAAACGTTCAAAAGCCCAATAGCTATCTTAGAAGCTGATAAAAAGCTCTAAGGACTCCAAAATACTTTGTTTCATGTACGGAGTAAGTAGTTATATTGACAATTTTTACAATAAATTGTAGATCAAATGAAGCTCTAAAAATTTCGAAAGCTCCAAAGCCCTCATGAAATCACATCTAAAGTCTCCCAATTTTCAAAAAGCTCCTATTCATTTGGTAATAATACAAACAAGTGCTAGTTTTAGACCAAAAATTTTACTAATTTAATCGAAGCCTGCCGGAAAAGAACTTCAAATAGTTAAAGCTTAACAGCTCACGATAACAAACGTAAGAAATTTCTAAATTCAAAAGCTTGGACTTTACAACCCTCAAAATTTTCTTAGAAGATATTAAAAGCTCTAAGAAATTTAAGAATAATGATTCTTTATCAAACAAGTACTTTATTTTATAATATTCACAGTAAAGTTTACGCCAAAGAAAGCTCATTGACACTTTTTGAAAGTTTCAAAAGCTCCAAAATTATCAAATGTACAATATTTAGTATACTTACAACTTCGTGGATTTCCTAAAATCTCCTTTTATTAGCAAATTAATGAAGACAAAAGCGAAAATGCCAACCAGAAAGTGTTATTAAATTGAAAGCTGCAAAAAAAGCTCGTCAAGTTTTTAATGAATTGGATAGAAATTTTTGCTAAGTAGTATATTAAATTCGACATTCCGAAAAAATAAAGATGAAAGTGCAAGTGAAAAGTATCATATCCACACAGGCGAATAAATCTGTATGCATGTATATATACTAGAAGGATACGTATGCAGTCAAAACAGTCGCTACATTTACTTACATACATATGTAGTACATAAAGCCGACCTCAATTGTGACCACCTCAGCAAATACCTATGCGAGTATAGATTTCACTTCAATGCAAGGAAAGGCACAGTCAATTGCCTGCATTGTAATTTGATATCCTTTAGCGCGAAAATTCCGACAAAAGCCGATTGTGCATGAGTAGCTGGACCAATGTGGACTATATGATTAGCTGGTTACATACGAATATACATAAAGAAATGTGTTTAACCTACACTTTGGTAGAACAATGAAAAGTACAAATCATCTCACAGCAAGGATCAATGGTACCAGCAACAGGATCAGCAAGCAGCAACCACACGAATATAGCGGTACGAGTAGAAGGAAGCAGGCATAGCGGAAATTGTGCGCACGCCTTCAACAGCATATGATATTTCGGCTTTTTCATGTGCTATTTTCTTGTAGAAAGATTTTTATGTATGTATGTATGTATTTTTTTGCGTGCCAGGATTATGACAAGCGTCCCCCTCGGTATATTCTTTATTGGATTTATATGCGGGTAACTTCAAAGCCGGCAAAAACAAATGGCAGAAGCTGAAAAGCTGACAATGATAGCTTTTAGGGGAGACTTTGTTATTGTTGGTGTTGTGTTTATAAGCTTCAAATTATAGTTCTTGCGGCAGCCAGAGATCTTTAACCCTTAAGAAAAAAGTAAAATGTTAAGCAATAAAGCATTTCTTGGCATAAGAAAAAGGCATTTTGAAATATAGTATGTCATCTAAAAGAGCTTTTGACCTTAAAAACTTATAAAAGTCCGTATTTCAACAGGAGATGTCATTTCTTGGCATAGGAAAAAGACTTTTTGAAATATAGGCTGCGTTTCTTTATACATTCCGGATAATCCCATTTCACAGCCGGAATAAACAGAATGCGTTTGAAATATACGTCAGCATATCAACAGGAACGTTCTAAAGAATAAATAAACAAAAAAGCGTATTCCAAACGTTCAGAATGAATAAAGAAATGCAGCCATAGTATGTCATTCAAATGAGCTTTTGACCTTAAAAGCTTTTTTAATGTCTGTATTTCAACAGGTGGCATATTTCTTTAGCTAAAGAGCTTTTAGATACTACTTACGACTGTTGAGAGTTAAGCTCTCTTTCGGATCTTAAAAAGGTTCATTTTGTGCAAAATAGTATAGAAATATCTCTCTGGCAAAAACAGACCTTGAGTTCTTTTAAACCGCTTAGATGTTTTTAAAAGCTGTACTACAGAGCTTTGTAGCTTTCTAAAGTCTGACTAAATAGAACATATTTTTGAGGTATTAAAGTTCGTATGCATTTGCATTGCTTGGCATACGAAAGTCCGTTTAAAAGCTCTAAGCGCTTAGCATCATAGCTAAGAGAGGTTTTGACCTCAAAAACTGCCTTAGACCCTTAAGGAGCACACATAGTTAAAAGCTTTGCGCTGGATTTCAACAAGTGACTTTTTTGTTGAAATCAAAACCTTTTAGATAGCTTTTGTTAAGTGTTATGCGCTCTATCAGCCGCTAAAAGCTTATTTTACGCTGTCGAAAAGCACTGGAAAAAACACAAAACCTTTAAAATATTTACATTTTTAAGATCTCTAAAGACGGTTTTAGAAGCTTTTGAGATTTCTTGATTCTTACTTAATAGTTTATTTGCATTAAAGTCCACATGCATTTGCATTGCCTTGCAAGGAAAACACTTTTTCGATGCTCTAAGCACTCATAATTTCTAAGAGAGCTTTTGAATATTTAAGCTTCTATTTGTTTCAGCTTCATTGTGGATTTCAACAGCTGACTTATTTTTCTTCGGTTAATGCGCTTTTCGTACACTTTAAAGCTTTTGTTGCCTTTTAAGCTGGTTGTGGCAGTTTTAAAAGCTTCAATCGTTAAAAGCTCATCTAATATTTAAAAAAATTATTATTTTCTCTAATTTTTTAAATTGTTTAAATTGTTCTCTACTCCTTCTAATCAAAGTAAGTTCTTCCAAACACGAAATATTTAGAGATTCCTTCTAAATTGGCTGAGTTGGGAGCTCCGAAGTCAATGTGCGGATCACAGATGGTTAAGGAAGAAATCTGGTACTCTAACGCGCCCCGTTTCTGGCTTATTTACCCTGTTTCTTTTTACATATTCTCGTATGCAATGTTTCTACCGATAACCCACTTACCACATGTGACTTCTAATGTGGAAAATTTTTCGCCAGCGGAACCTGATCAAACCAATTTTTTTTTTAATAACTGCAAAAAAGAACGTTCCAAAATTCATCATCAAAAAAAGTTTTTTGAACAACGGATTGAGGAAAAATAAAAATGATCATCAAGTGCACCCTGCTAATTTGCCACCTTGCGCGCGAGAGCGTTTCCTCCCGAAACCACGTAGAAATTCTAATATAACCCTGTGTTTGTTCTTCCCGCCATCTCTGGGTCATTTTTTTTCGCAAAGTACAAAACACATGGTGGCGCATATCCTGCTATTATCCTTCCAAAGGAGCATCTTGTAGGGTGCGACATCTAGCGACTAATAGTAAACGGTTGCGGTTAGCACTACAAGCAAATTTATTTCACTGAGAGGTGCAGGATAACGATACTGACA